CACCTTGTACTTCCCTGACCCCGAGGGACCAGCCGATGGATTCTCGGGAACAGGGGCGACGACGAGGCATCTCTAAAAGAAAGGGAAGAAAAATGTGTTCTCTATTGAAAACCCGAGGAATTTCCCCGAGGGTTTAAATCAAGACGTACCGACCGGATGACACCACTGTTCAAATCGGAAAACGAGAAGGCTAGGAGGACGATAAAGAAGAAGGTTGTGAAACTCACCAGAAGACGTCGGAAACGGAGTTTTTTCAGGAAAAACTTTGAAAAATGACTCGCACCGGAAGGACCAGGAGTCAACAATGGGTTTTTTCTGGCTGAGGTTTTAAAAGAAGGTGCTGTCAACGATGGCTGAGGAAACAAAAAACTCCGGCGAGCAGATCAGAAAGGGCGTATTCTGGGTCAGAGATCGGAATGGCAAAACGAAGGAAACCGGAGAAGAACCCCCTTTATATAGGGGGGAAAACTGTCATCATTGGGCGGGAGAACCAAAAAACAGCGCATTTAATGCGCACGACATCCCAAGACGGGGAAAGCTGCTCGAGGCCATAATGAAGGACGGATGGCAGTTGGAAAACCCTTCGTCTCCTTACAACGCGTGTCCTCGGTGTCAGAAGATCGAAGGCTGGGGGGCAGTTGATGGGACTCTTCTGAAAAGCCCTAAGATGATGACACGTGTCCTCGGGATATTTGGAACAGTGTTGCCTGGATGTAAGCACCATCGGCGAAGAGCGTCCTTTACCCCGAGGTACCTCTCATATAGGATCACACATTCGGTATGTTATACAACAAACACGTGTCCTCGGTCACACGTGTACCTCGGGGACACACCACCCCCTTGGTCCCGAGGTGAGCCTTTCCTCGGCGCCGAGGGTCACTCCATCCTGGACGCTTCCTCTACTCCCGGATAAAGCTACTGACAAACTGGACATCAGCCTATGCCAGTATGGACTATTCATCATGACCTCTTCTTACACAAGTAATGTCAGAACGTGCTGGAATACCGACGTAACAGCCAATAAGGGATGGACGCGTGGCAAATAATGTCACATCCGAAGCAGACAAACCGCATGCCGTTGCTGACACGCGACTTGGGAAAGCAAACAATTAATTACACCCTTCTGTTGACGAGACCGCATTTAATGCGGTAAGGTTCGGATATGAAAGGCAATAAATGCTCCTATTACAGAGCATTTATTGCATCCTTCCCGAAAGGAGCATATTGTACCGTCGGCGTCCCGACAACTCACCATTGATTGCTCGGGACCCCGAGCAGTCAATTAGAGAAGACATTCCTCATCAAATGATTACACACGCTACCTGTGCCTGATGATTACCTACTGACCACACTGACAGCAATCATGATCTTCTAAGGTATAAATACCCCTCCCAAAAGACAAAGCGGGTATGCAATCACAAACTCTCTACTACAAAGTATCCTTCTCAGTGTTTTCTCCTTCCTCTCTCTCATTCAAAGACTGACTAGACCGTCGGAGGGGATACGCCGGAAAACACTCCGGCGCCCTTCTAACTTGTTCTCTTTTGTCCCAGGAAATACCTTTCGCACGTACAGGATCGTTCCTCCTTTCCCAGGATCGTAAGCTGTTTCGAGCAGTGTGCTTGGCCACTCAATCGGCTCACCCAGAGTTCACCAGGGGAGAGATCTGTTCCCAATATTTTATATATATCGTGCAGGATCAAGCCCGCACAGTGAACATTTCATCTCTTTTTTTACAAATTGTGATAAGATGCAAATGGTATTTTGAACGCGGTGACAAGTGAATAACTTAAACACGTTTAAGCCTGTGTGGAACGAAGGCGCATCAGGTTGAAGTGCTGAACCATCCATGTCGGAAATATAGGCTTAATGCACTATTTTTCCTCCTATAGTCTTGATCCCCTAAGAAAGGAACAAGCCAACATTTTTTCATGCCGGGGTGAGCCCCATGACTATAGCAAAAAACTGTTTTTCTGTATCATAGCGTTACTTTTCAACTAACAAAAACGTGGTATGTATATAATTTTTTATTACTTTATTATTTTTTCATGGTTAAGACTGACACAATTGAATGCTCATCAGGCACTGTACGACAGTGTTATATAGTGTACATCACCAATAAGAAATTATATATGCCCAATAAATCGTTATTTCCTATCACCTCGTCAGAATTTTTTTTTAAAAAAAAAAATTACGAACTTATATGTTCTAGAAATTAATTGTGTGGCAAATTCTCACCGATTGAAAATACCAAATAACACTGTCATCTAGTGGTATAATACATTTCATAGCCTTAGCCCCGAATGGTGGTGTAATTTAGTGCCCTAGACTGTCATTTTTTAATCTGAAAATTTAAATTTTCATTACTTCACAATCAGAGTTTAATATAATTGCAAACCCGAGCCCGAAATTTGATACCCAAAATATTTTTATTTACTAAATATTAGACCATATTTCACCATCCAAACCTAAATTTTTCTTACCGCTAACTCCTGAGCCTAATTAACCCAACAATATTATTATTCACACAAATGCACTATTCTTTTATCCTAGATTTTATAACCCAAAGCCTGAAGGTTTTTCTCCTATATAATGTAAAAAATTTTACAGTAATGCTAGACTGACCAAATTTTGGGATCAAATTAAGAGTTCAAATGATATGACAGTTGACTTGACCTTCTTCGATTAGTGTCATGTCATTTGGGACCCAATAAAAATTTCAAATAATCAACTGTCATATCATTTAGGCTCTAAATTTGGTCACTGTAGTATTCCTCAAAATTTTATTAATAAGAAAAAGAGATTTATGATAAAATTCAAAAACATAGCATAAGGGTACACTTGGAACTTCATAAAAGATATAACTGCAAAAACCCGACAGGGAGACTGATACATTAGATCTTTGTCATCTCATATATTCTCTACTCTCTAGGTCATTGCTTTGGTATTACACATAATAATTATGTGATAAATGCAACCATGTCATAATTGTGTTTGTATGATTGTTTTATATCGATCGCATTATATTAGTCCCGGTCCTTAACTTTGTAAGACCAATCGTAATATTTTTGATATAACTTGACCTAAGAGAGTTTGTAACTTAAATTTAAAAAAAAAAATTGTTGCTTATGACTTCATTTTTTTTTTCAACGGTCAAAGGTGTTTGAACCAATTTAAGTGCATCTCGACTAATTTCCTCCTCAGTTCGGTTAAAAGTAAGTAATTTACGTCAGAATTAGAGTGCCATAAGAAATAAACTCTCCATGATCTAGCATTAAAAAATTATTAAAATTTAAATTTAAAATACTTATATTTAAAACTTATTTCGATTACCAATTGAGGTACTATTATTCGATTCGAGTCGAGTCGGTGCTTATGACTTTGGTGGCTGTAATCTTGTCTAAAAACAGTAGTATAAGTAGTGGAGGAGTCGCACTGTGGGGTTGATTCCTCAATTGTGTGGTACTGAAACAGTGGGGAATAATGTGCGGGCCGGCATGGCATGGCATGGCATGGCAATAAGAAATCATGGTGGCTGTTTATACTGCGACAAGAAGATTGTCTTGCCGACTATTACAATATCTCTACTGTATCTTGCCATCATTTTCTCATGCCGGGGTGGGCCCCATTACGGTACCAAAAAACTATCTTATCTTGTCAATAGAATAATGTTATTTTGGTATCAACAAATTTAATTTAAAATGATATAAATTTTATTATAACTATTACCTTAATATTAAATTTCAATATATCATGAAATTTACAGTCAATTTAAAAACTATAATAAATTAAATTAATAAATTAAATCTTAAAAATATTATTTTTTTAATAGTGTATCATTCCTTTTTAAATAATAAAAAGTTATGTTATCTGTATTATTTTTTATTGCTTTATTATTTTTTCATGGTTGAAATTGATAGAGATATTATCCGTATCAAAAAAATATAAGATGCTCACGAGACATCATATGGCAGTATTATTTGGTGCACATCACTAATAAAAAATTATACATACCGAATTCATGACTTTTGCCTATTACCTTGTCAAAAACAAAAAAAAAATTCAAAAGTCAACTTATACCAAATAACAATGATAGCATAGTTAACATTAAATGCTTAATCTTTGAAAGTAATTTTTTTTGAACATAAAAAAAAATTAATTGCTTAATCTTTGAAAGTAATTGTCTCCCAACTCCCAACATAAATTAGGTAAAATTTAATGCATTTGTCTGTTTTTATTCCTTAAAGGTCCTTAGACTGCCATTTTGTAATATGAAAATTGAAATTTACATTACTTCGTATCAGAGTTTAAAATAATTGCAAACCCGACCCCCAAAATTTCACCATAGCAAACTAAAAACTCATTAACCCAACAATAATACTCACACAAATGCTATTCTTTTTAACCAAGATTTTATAACCCAAAGCCTGAGGGTTTTTCTCCTATGGAATGTAAGCACTTTTAATAACAATAAGAAAAAGAGATTTATGATAAAACTCAAAAAACATGGCGCAAGGGTACACTTGGAACTTCATAAAAGACATCACTGCAAAAACCCGACAGGGAGACTGCTACATTAGATCTTTGCCATCCCATATATACTCTACTCTCTAGGTCATTGCTTTGGAGTTACACATAATAATTATGTGATAAATGCAACCATGCCATATTAGCTTGCATAAGGGTGTTTGTAGGAGAGTTGAATTTGTGAGTGACTCATTGGGAAAGTCATCTTATCGATCAGTTGATTATATACAAACTCATTAAGAACGTTGGTGCTGTACACTAAAGCACTGTGATGCAGTATGTATAACACTCACAGTAAAGTTTTGAGGATGAAACGCGGGTTGATGACGGTACACTAGCGACAATTCACCAAACGAATGCCTATCCTCTAATTTGATTACCACAAGGCCTCACCCACCTGATATAGAAACAGAGAGAGAGGGAGAGAGCGAGCATAGCACCCACTGAACCCATTACAGCAGTTGGAGTGCACCATGAACAGCTTATCCTCGGCCGGAGAGGCACAATTGTCGACCACCGATCGCAAACGGGGTGGGTGGATCACCTTCCCATTCATCATAGGTCCCTCTCTCTCTCTCTCTCTCTCTCTCTCTCTCTCATGCATGAGCTATGCACAGGATAACGATGTTGTAAATTAATGTTGAAAACAGCAACTACGGCGGGGTTGACACTGGCGGGAGGAGGGTGGATGAGCAACCTAATCGTGTATCTAATACAAGAATTCAATGTGAAAAGCATAAATGCTGCTCAAATCTCCAACATTGTTAATGCCTGCACCAGTTTGATTCCTGTACTCGGAGCCATCATAGCTGACTCTTTCTTTGGCTGCTTTTCAGTCGTCTGGATCTCTTCTTCCATCTCTTTGCTGGTACACTCCCACTACAATTACCCACCAAATTAATTATGTTAACTCAATAAAAGAAATTATTAGGGTGACATTCATTTTCTTGCTTTATGGTGGTTTCCTGATTTGCTGAAATCCTCAAATTAAATCTCAATTATATTACTTTTGATTTGCTGAAATCAAGTCGATTAAACTATCATAGCAAGGAAATCTACCAGGTAAAGAAAGAAAAATCCCACTACGGCAAAAATATGCACTTTTTAACTTTACCCCAGCTAAACCAAATTAGGACCAGTAATGGGTCTTATTGTGTCGGGTTTATATCATGCCTAAATCAATCTGATCACGCTAAAATTTTTAAAATTCATATATGATCATTCATGGTTGTGAGTTAGTGTTTATTCGGCTTCCTATCAACTCATTTCGTAAGCAGGCCTAATGTGTCAGTTGGGTAAGACTAACATTTCTTAATTGTGTTTCGTATTGGGTTTACAGATCGTGTTAAAAACTGTCGTGTACAATTGCAGGGCAGTATTTTATTGGCTCTAACTGCAATTCTCCATTCCCTGAGACCTCAGCCATGTGAAAATGGATCATCAACCTTGTGCAAAAACCCATCAAAACTCCAATTTGCAGTACTCTATGGTGGCATAGCTTTGGCCTCTATAGGCGTTGGTGGTACACGGTTTATTGTAGCAACAATGGGAGCAAATCAATTCAAAAAGCCAAAGGCCCAATCAACTTTCTTCAACTGGTACTTCTTCACCATATACACAGCTGCTGTACTTTCTACGACAGCCATTGTCTTCATTGAAGATAATGTGAGTTGGGCATGTGGATTTGGCATAACTGTAGCGGCAAATGCACTTGGTTTAGCCATTTTCCTTCTGGGAAACCGATTCTACCACCATGTTGAGCCAGAAGGGAGCCCGTTCACAGGTACTTTCTATATCGATATGATACGATCTATCAATATTCAAATCCTTCAGATAAACATGGATGATGATAAGTATTATTGATATTTATCTTTATAATAATTCTCACCCTACGATTAGAGCGGTTAAGTTTCATAGATATAATCAGCAATCAATAATACATCAGATGTAATCTATAGGATGTTTATTCGGTATATGCTATGTGCCGAACCACAATATTATTGTCTTCGTTTTCATTTCATTTCCTATCTCCAATCTTTTGTATTCAAAGAATTTCTTCAACAGGTTTGGCTCGTGTTGTGGTGGCTACCATTCGGAAAAGGAAGGTTGGGCAGCTCTCATCTGGTAGTGAAAATTATTACCATGGCCATGACGGAGTACCGCTGAAGATAATGGCTGCAACACCAACAAAAAGCTTCAGGTAAGAGTCGGTTACTTTATTTTTTCAAACTTTCTTCACCAAATTAAAAAATATATTATGGTTATAGATCATTGATTGGTTCATTTATTATCATTGATTATGAAAATAATAAAATAGTAACGTAAGAGAATATTACAAGTGTCTAACAAAAAGTATAGTATCAAAAAATAACTTTTAGTACTATATTTAGAAGAAATGAATTATATATATGACAAAGAAAACGAAGAATGGTCTTGGTTAGTTTTTCTTTCTTTTTTTTTTTTTTGACTGGTTAAAAAAGGGATAAGGGTAAAGAAGAGGGTCCAGCGATCACCCTGATAGACCCTCACAGGTGGGATCATAAGGCCCCTGACCTCCCCTGAAAAACCTCATGGAATCAGACTTAGCTAGACTAGCATAGCAGTTAACCACCAAGCTCCAATAAGAACTCCAAGACTCGAACTCTCAATCTCAAAATAAATAGTAAGACCGGTACCCCATTAGACCACCCTTCTTAGTGGTGTCTTGGTTAGTCCATGGCTCTTGAGAAGTACTATTTATTCAGTGGATTTGCCTCAATGAACTGTTTCCACTCAAAGAATCACCTTTTGCTTGGGAAAGTAAATTGGGCCAGGTTTGAGGGGGTGAAGCAGATGGATTTTGCATGTTATGATTAAAGTGTCACCCCTTTTCATTCTTGACTAATATTTGGACATGTAGGAACTTACAATAATTCATTGTAGAAATGTCCTGAGATTTGATAGTTAGAACTTAACGAATCTATATCCAGGGCATTAATTGATGAACTGAGAGAGAGAGAGAGAGAGTGGAGTTGGGTTGTGGGAAATCATGTATATGCATTTTAGGTAAGTGGGAGTGTGACATGGACAGTGTACACACTTTATATAGCAGTAAGAGTTCCACTTTTGTTGACACAAGTCAACCATAAACAGCCCGAGAAGTGTGTCTTTTTTAATTTTTAACAAAACGCTGTAATTAGAATATTCGTAACTGATAAATTTTTTATAACTTGACTCCAAATAATTATTATGATTTAAATTCAAAATTTTTAAGTTTTCAATTCATTTCTGATACCACTTAAACAAATCATCCATATTTCAATAATGTTCTGTTTGGTATAATGAAAAAATAGAAAGATGAAAAGATGAAAAGTTAAAAAGATAAATAAAATATTATATTTAATTAGGAAAGAAAATAAGAATAATGGAAAAGTTGATGTATTAATTTTCCTTCCTACTCATAAAAATCAATTTCTCCAAAATCGAAAAAAAAATGAATAGAAAACTAATTATATGTGTTGAGATGTATCTTATTTATCTATATATTATGTATAAATTAATTTCATATAAAAATATAATGATAAAATATATATTTATAAATATTTTTTAAAAAAATTAAAAAATATATACAAATATAAAAATATAATATAATAAAAATTAAAATTAAAAAAAATATTTTTTTCAACTTAACTAGAGGTGAAAATTTTTGACTCAACTCGATGACACGAATCAAACTCGATACAAATTTTATGACATGAACTTAATTATAACTCGACACGAACTTGAAAATGACCTGACACACGAATAAAAAATATAAAAGACTCATAATTTAATGACTCAATACGAATCTGACATGACACGACTCGATTGTCACTCCTAATATTAGACAAAAATAATTTTAAAAAAATTAGTCATTTTTATTTTCTATCCATCCAACCAAACACAAAAGAAAGAAAGTGTATCATTCTTATTTTTCATCTTTAAATGATAAAAAATGTATTTCTCCTAATTTACATCTTTCCTATTTTCCATCCTTCCTACCAAATGCTACGTTTGGTACGATGGAAAAGTGGGAGGATAGAAAGTTGGAAGGATAGAAAGTTAGAGAGATAAATAAAATATCATGTTTGGTAAGAAATGATGAAAAAGTGTATGGATTAACTTTCCTTCTGACTTACTAAAATCAATCCCTCCAAAATTGGAAGGAAAGTAAATGAAAAATTAATTATTTGTGTTGAAATATATATTATTTGTTTATATATCTTTTTATATATGCATATATTATGTATACATTAATTTCATATAAAAATATAGTGGTAAAATATATATTAAAAAAATTTTAAAAAAATAAAAAAAATTAAATTAGAAAAAAATATTTTGTTCATTTTAACTAAGAGTGAAAATTTTCGATTCAACACGATGACACGACTCAGACTCGATACGAAAATAAATAGGTCAATTCGTAACTCGACACGACACAATTAGTTAAATGAATTAAGTGAAGTTTGACTAATATTCGACACAAACCCGCAATGACTCAACACGAATCTAATACGATACGATTCGATTGTCGCCCTTAATCTTAGCTAGCACAAAAAAAAAATAGTCATTTTTATTTTTCATCCATCCAACCAAATACAAATGAAAAAATATATATTCTTCCTATTTTTTATCCTTCAAGGATAAAAAGTTATATCTTTCTTACTTTCCATCTTTGAAAAATAAAAAATATACCCCTCTTATTTTTTAACATTCCTACTTTTTCATCCTTCCTGATCATAAGTGATTTCATCATCTCTCTTGAAGGTTAAACATTGTGCATCTATATATTGCCCCTCGACCAATGGCCTTGGGATAAATTAGCACGCATTTTCACCTCATCATCATTTCTGTTAAACGGTGGCAGTCGATGTTTTCTAGACACTAACAAAAACGATGATTTTATTAATTTTTTAAAAATTACAATCCCTGTTACGTAGTAGAGGAGCCGGAGGCCCAAAGTAGTTAGGAATTTCATAAAAGTAAATAGTTGAAGTTATATTAATTCAAGAATAATGTTATTTGAAGTTAAAAAAATTAAATTTTATTATAATTATTGAATCAACATTAAATTTTAATATTTTATGAAATTCATAGTCAATTTAAAGGTTATAGTAAATTGGGTCAGTAAGTTAAGTCTCAATAGTATTGTTCTTAATACATTCTATATAATAAAATACAATACAAATCAAATCTTAAAAGATAAATAAAATGATTTTTACTTTTTGTGGTTAAGATCTCTTTAAATTTTACTTTAAAATTAATTCAGCAGCTAATATTAACACTCCAAATTTAATAAAAAAAAAAGATCCTTAAGAGCATGTTTGGAATGACTTTTTAAAAAGTGTTTCTATGATTTATTTATAACTTCTCATTACTACTTAAAAAAAAAATTTAGTGTTTGAAATTACCTCACCACAACTATCACCACCACTGTCATCCCACCACCACCCCCACCACCATCATCATTATCACCAGCACCATTGTCGTCACTCCACCACCACCGCTATCATACAACCACCATCGCTACCCTACCACCACCGTTATTATTCTATCATCACCCTTACAACCACCATCACCCCGACCATCACTACCATTGTCGCTGTCGTCACAATCACTGCCCCACCACCGTCGCTAGACCCACCGCCACCATCACTATCGTACCATCGCCACTCACCACCAATTGCTATCACCACCACCACTCACTACCATCGTCATCTCATTTTTATATTTTTATTACCACTACCACCATCATCCCACTATCACAGTCGCCCACCATCAGCTTCCACCACCGTCTGTTATCGCCCACCATTATCACCCATTCCCACCATACCTACCACCGCCGTCATTTGTCAACACTCATCACACTATCATTCAGAAGCATCCATCGCACGCCCATCACCGCCATTCGCCACCACCCATCATCACCATCTACCACCATCGTCACCCTATAACCACCACTAACAACCACCATCACCATCGTCTACCACCACTCACACCCACCATCATTATCCATAACTACCACTATCATCATTGTCACCAAAAAATCACCACCATCATCAGCGTTTTCACCCACAACTATCATCATTACCACAGTTGTCATCACCCACCACAAGCACTACTGTCATCCACTACCACTACCACCGTTCACCCCCACTACAATTAATATTTAAATTTTTTTTTCTCTTTTCTATATTTGTGATTTGATTTTGAGTGTGAATATAAATATATTTATTATTGATATTTTTTTATTATTCCATACTTTTAAGCACGAGTAATAAATAATATTTGTATATAAGTGAAGATAAGAATCAATTATTGGATTTAGTCATCGAAATAACGTCCAAAACTTTTCCGAAATAGATGATTTAAAAAATATATATTATCCTTAACCCAACGGGAAGTAATGGGGTAGACCACTGAAACTTGAAAGTGACGCTTGAAGTGGCACACTAAATCAACAATTTTGCCATCACTTTGATTCTTGCTTTTGCAGCAAAGGTGCTCCAGAATCTTGTGTGTGAATACATTATATAATATTAAAAATTAAATTGATCTTGTAATATTTTTTTTAAAATAATAATTTAATTTTTTTAATTACACAATTTAAAATTAAAATAAAGAGATAAGTAAGTGTAGATTGCTGAAATTATTTGACATTAGAGGAGTGTATTGATTGAATTGTTTGATATTGAGGTCGGGCAGAGAAATTTGCACCATTTAATCAAAATAGATGAAGATATATATATATATATATATATATATATATATATCTCACAATTAGCTTAAAAGTCTATAACATGTTACAAACGTGACAGTGCATATTTTTCTTCCGTTTTATTGATTTTTTATTTAATATTGTTATTTAGACATAATTTATTGACCTAATTCATCACAATTATTGAATTAGTTACGGGTCCCAATAAATCTTAAAACTCACTATTAATATAATGGTCATGATTTATTTTATTGTGTGCAAGTGTTTTCTTTTGTACAGACTTTAATTTGCATGGTGCGTATGTGCTCTCTCTCTCTCTCTCTCTCTCTCTCTCTCTTGTTGGTTGTGCATCTATTTAATAGAAAAACTTTTACATACAGGCTACAGCTCTTGTCACATGATATTATGAGCCAGCCAAAGCAATATGTTTTCAACTATTCACAACCGAGAATTAAGCACCCTTCTCTTACTATATATGTATGCAGGTTCCTAAATCGTGCAGCATTGATAACCGAAGGAGACATCAACCCTGACGGGTCGATCGCAAAACCATGGAAGCTTTGTACCATACAACATGTAGAAGACCTGAAAACCCTAATCAGAATCCTCCCAATATGGTCTAGTAGTATATTCCTAGCCACCCCAATAGGCATACAAGCCACCTTGTCTATCCTCCAAGCTCTAACCATGGACCGCCACATCGGTCCTCATTTCAAATTCCCAGCAGGGTCCATCCTAGTCTTTGTTCTAGTCTCCACCTCCATCTCCCTCACCATGTTGGATCGACTCGTATGGCCAACGTGGCAGAATTTGATTGGTCGATCTCCAACGCCCCTCCAGCGAATTGGGGTTGGCCACGTGTTGAATGTGGTGGGCATGGTTGTGTCAGCCCTGGTTGAATCAAAGAGACTCAGCATAGCCCAGTCCCACCACTTTCAAGGCCAACCAAGTTCCAATATTGTCCCCATTTCAGTCCTGTGGCTAGTGCCACAACTTGTGCTTGTGGGCATTGGAGAAGCATTTCATTTCCCTGGACAAGTAACTTTATACTACCAAGAATTTCCGACCTCCCTGAAAAACCTGTCGACCGCAATAATTTCATTGATTATTGGAATTGCATTTTACCTTAGCACAGCTTTGATCGACCTTACTCGAAGGGTGACAGATTGGTTACCAGATAACATAAATGATGGGAGGCTAGACAATGTGTATTGGCTATTAGTTGGGATTGGGGTGGTGAACTTTGGTTATTATCTAATATGTGCCATGTTGTACAAGTATCAGAGTGTGGAAAACAGGGTGGACGTTTCCCCCCAGCTCTGATATGGAGCACAGATCTATGTAATCCTTTTGTCTGTATAAGTATGTAGCACTATGTATATCAAAATGTGCCGACTTTACCAGGTTCGGGTTCTTGTGTCACAACTACGAATGGTAAATGATTTGATTATATTCCAAATCTGATATGAATTTAGTCAGTTGAATACAACTTAATGTGTAGTCATAACCCGCTAGGGTCAATACCAGAATTTGTACACAAGTTGGGCGTCGGGATAGGATTCAGGGGGGCCATGTTACAATATCGACATTTTAGGGTGCCCATATAACATTTCTCTGGATATTTTACATAATTAAAGAGGTCACTATAATTTTTAAAAGCTCAGCAGGAGCATGGTCCCTCTCGATCCCCCATTTATGTTCTTATGGACCTGAAACCTAGCATATTGACACAGCTTGTCATTGGCCTTTTTCCTGCAGCTCCAACACTACCTGAGAATCCTAAAGGCCTTCAAAACATAACATCTCTCTCCATTACGGAAAAAAAAAATACTTAAAAGACTAAAACAGTCAATTATACAGGTAAAGCAAGTGAAAGATCTGCAAGTCACCTGTGGCTCCAAAGTACATGCAGGTTTGAAACCTATAGAAAACTACAAGCTTTTGCTGTGTGGTAGTTTTTCCTGAGATTACCCTTAAAAAAGATGGCCAACCTTGAATTAGAGGCTGCACAAGGTACACTTGGTTCATCGTAAAAAGAATGAAAGAAATCAACTTATAGTGTCATTCTACATCTGGTCAGTGAAAAATAATGAATTTGAGTCAAACCCCGTTTGGTTAATGGGGATCCAATGGCAGAATGTTGGTGAACTTTGTACAGTCATACGGGCCAATCTCGTTGTTTTTCCGCTTCACCTGAAAGCCATAAAAATGAAATATCAGATCAAAGATTGAATAACCAATTGAATTTGACAAACACTGATGTGTCATACCGCAGATTATGGGATACAATGCATTTTCTTTCCTTTTTATGTATTGGAGTTAATTATGGGATTAAGATTAGGATGAGAAGTAGAATTACTAAAAAAAAGTGACTATGAGAAATAGAATCACCAACATAAATGACGAGAGACAAAATTTATGAAAGAAAGTCCATAAAGAGTTCATTTTATTTGTTTTTTGCAATGTGGATGAGTCACTAATTTGTTCAGTATCTCTATCATGGCAGTGCACTGCAATTTCTAGACTTTCACATCTTTTAGACGGATAGTGATATTTTGCCGTTACCAAGGCTAGTGACATTTTAGTGATCCTATTGCATGTTATAAAGAAAAAACTTGAAGCCCAGTGCAGTGTTGATGAAAGGGGACCCCTAACCTCCAGTAATAAAAGGTAAGCAGTTCAAAAGGCAGGAAACTAGGACTCATTGGAAAAAATAATAAAAAACAAATGCTTGAAATTCTTTCTTGGTTAAAGGTAGACAAGAAGATTCGAACCCACGTGCCCATTCCTTAGTATAGCGGCCCTACCTATACCGTTAGGCCAAGACACGAGTTGAAGTTATTAACAGTAGTACTTGCAAGGAAAATAAAATATTACACGGACAGATGATTGGAGTTTTTAAGATTTATTTTACGTTAGAGATATATCTTCAGAGAACTTGAGGGTGATAGCTATGGTCAGGGGAAAAATCACACTAATTTTGAACAATGCCGTATTTGAATAACAAGTTAAAAAGATTTAAATACTGAGGGGATGACAGAAAAAATGAGGCCATAAAGAAAAGCATAGATAAACATACTTCAGGAAACTGGGCACTTCAGATATATCTATGACTACATGTTCAGATTAAGTGAAGCCTGAGTAAAATAACAAAGCAGTATGTGGCCATAGATGAGATTACTCTAGGAATTATTTGGGCAATCATATTTGAAACAGTGTAAATTTGGATTCATGCGAACAAGTTAGATTTCATGCATTGACAAGGTTAGAACTAACTACATAAAATTAAAACATCTGAGGGGAAGCTGTTAAGTCAACTGGATGTGATAAAGAAAATAATAACTAGGAATTGTTCTGAAAACTTTCTCACAGCCCAATCAAGTGCATGTATGCTTGTCATGTCCTGACAAATTAGATGCAGTTTGACTTGTTGCAGAAGGAGCATCAAACTTTTGTGGGTAGATAAAGAGCAAGAAATAATCAGATAGAATGCTTCAAGCACCTTGAAATTGAGTTTTATTTACAACCAAGAACAAACTTTAGATGGAAAAGCAGGAGTTTGTAATCACAAGCTAACATTCCCAGATCCAACCATGATACACAACGGCTGAGCACCAGTGGTTCAGAAAGCTAACAAAACAAAAACAATATCCTCAAATGATGAACTTAAAACAGACAAATTGAGATAACGAGCTGCAATGTGGAGGAAAAAGTCAATAAAGTATCACCAAACTGAAACAACTGATGTCTTGACTTGGTGATTTCAACACCATTGATGCTGAAAATAAATGAATCATGGCAAACACATGCCCAATGACAGAATTTTTCCTGTAAATATATTACATGAAGCAAATGACAAAGTCAAACTAAGTTTTCATTTTTTCTCAAATACTAATGTGTATTTTCTATTTTTTATTCAATACGAGACAGCCAAAACATTAATAAGGCACCATTTGATGTATGCATGTATGCTGACAAACGTAAGCAAATTGCCAAGAAAATTCTAATACGGTGGGAAATGGAAAAAGTTGAAAATCGGGGCATACCGGAGACCATGGACCTGGTTCAGGTAGACATTTGTCAGGGGGCGAATTCTGTACAGCACCACCTTTCATCGTTAGTATATCCTGTAGAAACTCTGCATTAGGCTAAAGATTATGGAACTTAATAGTTGTAACAGAACCAGAGAATCATGTTCTGAGTGCTGGTGAATGAAAGGATGCCAAATTCATCAAAACTATTCGTGAAAAGCCCACAAGGTCATCAGTTCAAGACTTCTAACAAGGCAGATTGACTTGTGCTACTGAATCAACGCACGATATAAAGTTCAGTGACTCTGGGATAGGCCACTCCCCAAATTCACCAGGAACTTACATAGATATTTGACTTTTCCCTTCTAAGCCAGTATTTTCAATATCATATACAAATTGACTTCCCAAAACTAAATGATCATTATCGAAGGGTTTTCTTTGATAATATTGAAGAGAATACATTCATGCAAACTTTCGATCCACCCAACTACTAAAATAACTGGACAAGGAACTATCTCCCCTACTTTCCCTAACTGGGTATCATCCCCTCCACCACAGTTGAAGCAAATTTTGCTTAAGGAGGCTAGAATAGGTGTAGGGTAAATTTACTATTTAAGTTATGTTATTAGTTTTAATGAAATTTATATTATGACCAAAAACTGCTAAAAGAGATGATCAATTACAAAGAGACAGTGCAGCAGGAAATAATGCTTCCAGTCTTTAAAGGTATGGTTCAATGAAAAATTATGGATGCCTTAACAAAAGGCCACACAATTAGTGATAGAATAGAAAATGCTCTATTGGTCGACTGGTTTTAGGTTAGTCCCTGAGATCAACAAAGGTTAAAGAATGGAATTTGATGTCTCAAGATGAAACAAAGAAAAATATGAAGTGTTGTGAGACAAAAACTTGTGAGCCAATGAGCTGCAGAGGTTAGGTTGAGGGTGTGACAAATTCAATAGGCACCCATCGAGATCACCCAATCCTTGCCGCTCTATATGCTGCCCATTTGTTTCAACATATGCACAGCATGACGAATCCAAAACAACTAAATAGAATAAGCAAGATGGTAATGCAATAATGTGCAACATGGAAATGAAAAGTCAGAGGAGTCAATATCAAAATCATGTGGCATAGATTGACTCTGTTCATTAAAATGCATACATTACTTTCCAGAAAGACTATATATTACCTCTCCAGCAGCTTCAATAGCCGCCAACCATTCATCAGAGAATGGAACTGCATCTGGTGGAGGTCTTATTATAAGGTTATCTCCCCTTTCACCGTTCTCAGATTTCTTGCTGTCATCAGAGCAAGAGATGAATATTTGCAGCGTATATATGGAATGAGTACTGAAGAACTGAACAATAATAAATAAAATGCTTTCTATAAATTACTTACATTGACATGGTTGCCTCCTTATCCTTTGTGAGACAGTTGGCATTGTCTAACTCATGGTGCAATTCACCAATGGGACTATTACACTGTCCAGAAATTTTAGTTTCAGTTTTACCTATCAAGATATTCCTCTCCGATCCATCAACTTCTATACTCACTTGACTACTTCCTGACAAGGTCCAATCTCCTTCATTTAATAAAACTAATTTTTCAGCCGAAGAGCATTCTGTGGAGGGATTGGTCACACCTATAATCTGGTATTTGCTTGTCTTCAAAGCTGAATCAAATTCCGAAGAGATGACTTGACCACAGCGGTCCATGTCAGGTGGAGTCTTAGTTCCTGCAGAAATTGATAATGCATCCTCCTGCTGTGGGTGATCATCCATTTTATTCACACCAACACCTCCACCTTGCATGCCTAGAACTTGAGTAACATCATTAGAGCTTTTTGATTCAACTCCATTATTATCACTTTGTTTCCCAACAACTGCAACACTTTGCCAGACATTTTCCTCCAGGGATACTTCATAATTGGTGCCTTCTAGAGGCAAAAAGGAATCCGTCAGAGGCCGTCCATGGTTACCCAGAGAATCATGTTTAGCTACCAGGCTGGCATCAGGCGACTCAAGTTCTTCAAGTTGTTTGTTACAATGAACAATCTCCAGACATTGATCATAAACTGCTGAAGTTGATAGAGTGCCATCTAATGACTGCACTTCTGTGTCTCCCATGTGTGTGCTATTGATCATGCTATCTAAGTGACCTGAACCTTCTTTTACATCCTCTGAAACTTTAAATTGAGATGGACTCGGAGAACTTCCAAATTCTACATCTTTATGACCTGGACCAATTGGACTTTCCAGATAGTACTTCTGTGACTCTTCAAAACCTCTGCTTTCCTCAAATAAAATGCCACAATTTTCCTCCATTCTCTGAATTTTTAGATAAGAATCATCCAGAGAAATTTTAGCTTCGGCTTCCTTTACCATGACATCACTCACCATTCCATCCACTCCTATATTCCGTACAGTACTTCCATAAGAAAATGTTTGAGTATCTTGAACCAACAACCCCGATCCCTTGCTCAAAGACACATCAAACCCCGATGGGGTCACAACACCTTTGAGCTTTACATCATGCCAAAAATGGGTACCTGTGGTATCCCCCGAGTCCAAAATTGCCTCCTCAATAGGTGGTTGCTCAGCCAAATGATCTTTATCCACGCCATCATCTTGCATTCTGCCTGTTGAACTGCTTTCTGGAACAACACATTTACAATCAACATTTTTTTCTGGAACAACAAATAGGGCGCTTTCAATGATTTTTTCCCCCTGGAGTTCTTCAGAACATGTAATTTCTGCAAACGAGATAGATTTGTCTGAAAGCGCATGGTCGTACTGTTTATTGTTTTGAACTGCAAGGCAAGGACTTTGAAGTTGTACCTGTTCTCCCAATTGTTCACTTAAATCACCAGCCTCTAAATGTGGAGTATTTTCTGTTAAAGTGTACCAGTTACTGTTACAGATTTCAACAGATAAATTTTCATTAGAGGCCTGCAGTTGTGCATCTCCCACATGTAATTCATCACTCAAGATATCTACTCCAGCAGCAGTTTCATTTTCTTGCTCTGTGTATTCATGCTGAGATGAAACAAAAGAATTTTTCAAATCATTCCCACTACATTCTGGGGCTTTGGAATCGGCATCAGTAACGTTTGTACTTCCATTTTTCTCAGACTCTACAGGTGGTATGCTCAAGCTGTCCTTTGCCTTCAAACAATGATTCTCCCACTGAGATACTCCATCACCTTTAACATTACAAGATTTTATAAATTCCGCTTCTTCCTTAGACTGTTGAACAAAATGCCGCGCACTGCCTACACAAACATTATAAATTGTTAAAGAATTGTGCTCTCCACAACAAATGTCATTCCCAGACTGCAACTTAGAGAATCACCATGACTAAAACTCAGAGAAATGTAAAACTTGTCATCTTCACGTTGGTGCTCAACTGTACCTTCTCTTCCAGAAACACTTATAGTATGCATTTCACAGTTATCCAGCGACATATGATGAGAGTTTCCCGAATCATTCTTGCTAGAGTCTTGATTTCGTGGGCAAACTATAGGAACCTTATTCTGAAGTAATCCAAGAGCAGTATACTTGGAATTATTGCGTGCTGGAATATTTCTCTGTGATAAGCTATGTGAAACTGAAGCTTTTGGCTGCAAATAAATGTCATTGATGGCATGACAAAAAAACTATGAACACAACTTAAGCATGTCAATAACTGAATGCCAAGCAGAAATAGAGTAATTATACCTGGCTGAAAAATCCTAATGAAGGTGATGGCATTCGCAAGCCAGATGGTTTTATCGTTCCGGTCTGTCCAGACTGCATATTCCCACTGATTCTTCGAGTATTCTGTGAAAGACAAAAAGCAACAATGCTGGATCCACCTGAATGTACTCCAGTAGATGTATTTATTGTGTCTTGAATCACCTCTAAACCACCTTTATTGGCTTGTCGTTGTGGATTTGTGGATGACTGTTTTTCCGCTAATGGGTTGGCCTGTACAAAGTGAAAGAAATCATACGTTAGTGAACACAATTACTCTCCTGGCCCAATCCCTCATGACTCTCCTACTCCAATTATATAGAATGACTGTTGGATGCTAACACACTCTAAACAAAGTGCTTATAGAATTTTAAAAAAACATCTAACTTCTTACAAAGTTTTGTCTACATTGTTGAGCAAAGGATTTAGCCGGGAAAGGACAGCTATTAGAATCAGATTTTGCTTTACTTTGTGTGTGCTTTAATGTTTTTGAGGAGCTTTTCAATCCAGGATTCTTCTGAAGATTAACTGCTGCATTAGAGAACATAAAAATATACACCTCATCAGTCCAGCAGGAAAACATGGAACTATAAGATCCAGACCTTCTAAACGCAATAATTAACTCATACATTGCCTGATTTAGCAATATGATTACCCTTTTGAACGCATCCATTTCATCTGGAGCAGTTGAAAAACCTTTTAACTCAAGTTTGATAATATGCAAACAAGACTACATACTCTACCTGGTTGAGCAATCAGATGATGCTTGAAGTGGATTACATTCGATATATTACTCTTTGTAGTTGAAGGAAGTGAACAAGAGGCTGTCTTCAAAACTGGTATTTTAGGAATTTTTGATTCCTTTGTTGATGCTTTCGTGGGGTTTAGAGCTGCAGGCCTTTTCAAAGTAAAAATGAGTTAAGGATAATCAATTGCAATACTTTTTTTTTTTGGATCAAAGGTTGCAATACTTCAAATAGGCAAATTAGATAAACTTTTGGAGACAATCAAACCTCCTATGGTATAACACAAATAAAAAGGATATGAAGATGAAGCCAAAGGTCGTGGACAACCACCACCTTTAGATCCAGTGCTAACACCACTAGAGTTTGTAAGCACTCTTCCTTTGGCCTGTAAGCACATATTTGACGAAAGCAATATAAGTGGCACTATGTTTCTTCAACAAATAAGAGATTGTTGGAGCTTAAAACTAACCACATGAGTTAGGGCTGTATTATAGCGAACTGATAAATCACACTTTGGTGGTAGACAACCCCCTTTTTCTCTCTCTATATGTGACACAGCAGCAGGGATTTCTTTGAATAAATGTTCTTCTAGTGTTTGCACGTTTGTAGAATCAGCTATGTAGTTGGAATCACAATAAGAAGAATATTCTCTATCTTCTTCATTAACTACAGATAAGGCCTCTTCAGAAGAGCTACCAAAAGTCCCACTAAGCATCGACAGTTCTATGGGATTCAAAACACCTGAGTAAACAGCAACAAAAACAATTTCTCATATCAACTGATAACTCTATTTATATGGAGTACATTTTTGTGTGTGTGTGTGTGTATATAAAGAGAGAGAGACAGACAGACAGCCAGACAGACAAAGACAACAATATAAGCACCTTCTTCGGTGAAAAATGCTCTGTCCCACGCTAAGCTCTTCCGCAAATTGTAGTTTCCACCCTTTCTCTTCCTCTTCATTTGCAATGGTTCCAAACTCAGCTTTTGCACTTCTGATTTGATCATATTTACATTTTCTTTATTGCTGCCTCCATTAGGAGATGAACAACGAGATTTTGCTGAATCCACACTAACCTTCAAATCTCCTGCAATTGGATGGAGTATGTCAGTCAACAAACCTTCCTTCAAGTTTTCCTTGTGATTATGCCAAGGTGTCCTGAATCCATTTCAAGCCATGACTAATCCCTCAGAGATTGCACGATATTACAAGTTCACAACCAATTGCAAATTGGCTCAGCCAAGTTACCTACCATGCAGATTACCTTATTTTGGATTATTAATGCACTTTCTTGGCAGCAAAATGTAAGGACTCTTTAACTTTTGAAGGCCAAAACTTCTTTAAATCTTGGATCTCAACCTAAAATCTACATGTCAAGTGATGAACCTCACCAAAACTACTAATCGTAATTAAAACAACAGAAACAATCTTCCAACATTATTTATTTGGATAACACTGAAACCAACCCCTAAAATCCCAGCCAAGNTTGGAGACAATCAAACCTCCTATGGTATAACACAAATAAAAAGGATATGAAGATGAAGCCAAAGGTCGTGGACAACCACCACCTTTAGATCCAGTGCTAACACCACTAGAGTTTGTAAGCACTCTTCCTTTGGCCTGTAAGCACATATTTGACGAAAGCAATATAAGTGGCACTATGTTTCTTCAACAAATAAGAGATTGTTGGAGCTTAAAACTAACCACATGAGTTAGGGCTGTATTATAGCGAACTGATAAATCACACTTTGGTGGTAGACAACCCCCTTTTTCTCTCTCTATATGTGACACAGCAGCAGGGATTTCTTTGAATAAATGTTCTTCTAGTGTTTGCACGTTTGTAGAATCAGCTATGTAGTTGGAATCACAATAAGAAGAATATTCTCTATCTTCTTCATTAACTACAGATAAGGCCTCTTCAGAAGAGCTACCAAAAGTCCCACTAAGCATCGACAGTTCTATGGGATTCAAAACACCTGAGTAAACAGCAACAAAAACAATTTCTCATATCAACTGATAACTCTATTTATATGGAGTACATTTTTGTGTGTGTGTGTGTGTATATAAAGAGAGAGAGACAGACAGACAGCCAGACAGACAAAGACAACAATATAAGCACCTTCTTCGGTGAAAAATGCTCTGTCCCACGCTAAGCTCTTCCGCAAATTGTAGTTTCCACCCTTTCTCTTCCTCTTCATTTGCAATGGTTCCAAACTCAGCTTTTGCACTTCTGATTTGATCATATTTACATTTTCTTTATTGCTGCCTCCATTAGGAGATGAACAACGAGATTTTGCTGAATCCACACTAACCTTCAAATCTCCTGCAATTGGATGGAGTATGTCAGTCAACAAACCTTCCTTCAAGTTTTCCTTGTGATTATGCCAAGGTGTCCTGAATCCATTTCAAGCCATGACTAATCCCTCAGAGATTGCACGATATTACAAGTTCACAACCAATTGCAAATTGGCTCAGCCAAGTTACCTACCATGCAGATTACCTTATTTTGGATTATTAATGCACTTTCTTGGCAGCAAAATGTAAGGACTCTTTAACTTTTGAAGGCCAAAACTTCTTTAAATCTTGGATCTCAACCTAAAATCTACATGTCAAGTGATGAACCTCACCAAAACTACTAATCGTAATTAAAACAACAGAAACAATCTTCCAACATTATTTATTTGGATAACACTGAAACCAACCCCTAAAATCCCAGCCAAGTGCGGCAAACACAAAGTACAGAGAATGATGGGACGAAAAAAGTACAACAAGTGTAACATCAATTGTAACAATCATTTATTACTGGCCACAACTTTCCACATATACAGACCCACATACACATGTTACAGCAAAAATTCAAGGGAACTAATTTATCAGAATCAAACAAAACCCAAAAACCTACAATTCACCTAAGTTAAACCATGATGTATCAGTGGCAAATTTTTAGTCTAAAAAATTAAATAATCAAATATAAACTAGCAGTGGAGAAACCCTATAAAACCCAAATCAAGACAAACAATCACGATGGCAAAACAGAATATGAAGTGTACTGGAGAGATTGGTACTGGAAAAAGCACAACCCGAGTGAAAAATTAAACTCCCGAAATTCAAACCAGTGGCACTAGATCACTCAAACAATAGTATTGGAAAGTGCAAATTCCGAATGAAACCACGGCATTTGTAAGACGTGTCAAATCGAATAAAAATCTAAACCCTGGAAAATAAAATAAACTTTACTTACTCATCGGTGACACACGGGGAGGGTCTTTGGAGCGGTTGGAAATTGGTAGTTGCAGTGGCGAGCACGATAAGTAATTGCCGCTGGTGGTGACGGTATCGTGAAGTGTTGGGATCTGTTGCAGGAGAGAATCGTCTTCGCCTGAGATTTCGAGGAAATCCCACTCCATTCTCTCTCTCTCTCTCTCTCTCTCTCACACACACACACACACAGAGATCTGTCTGTATGTACTATTTTCTCTCTGCTGCTGAATGGTTAAATCTGAACTTGGTAGAGTAGAGATGTAGAGATGGGGGTTTGATTTGTGGCTTTCTGCTATGTTTTTGAAACAGTAGCGAGCGGGAAAGGGCAGAGAATTGAGACGGAGGCACACGCTGGTGCATTATTTATCGGATAAATATCATATGTGCCCCTCAAAGTATTCACCAATTTTTAAATTACACCGTACCTTTTAATTATCTTAATTTAGTTTTCAAAGTATAAAAATTACAAAAAAGGGTTATTTTCATTTTGCACGTCGAAAGACGTTTCAATTTTTAATTTGTACCCTTAAACATTAAAAATATCAATTTGTATCCACAATGTTATGAATTAATAGTAATGTAGACATCACCCAAATTGTTGTTCAATTTTTTGTCATAAATTAAAACACGTGAGTTGTAAGTATTCGAGCATAGATTTATGTATAAATTCATAGACTGTTGGTGTCTAATGTGAGTTACACATGATAGGAATAACTTCTATCTAAGTAATGAAATCATATTTTCGATATATAAAATAATATCATATTGATCCCAAATGAAAATTTATAACAATAGACATATTTCATCTTCACGTCCGAAGCATTTGTATCTCACCTGTTTCAATTTATAACAAAAAATTGACTGGCAATCTTAGTCAAGTCTACATTGCTACTAATTCATAATATTGAGGGTACAAATTAAAAAATTTAATATTTAAAGGTATAAATTAAAAATTAAAACATCTTTCAGGATATAACCATACAAAATTTACCCTTTCCGTCCAAATTTTTTGTTAAAATGGACAGAAAAACCAACGACATTTGTTTCATGTTATCCCTACATTTCTATTGTTATAGCCAGCCTTCTGCAGTTATTTTCAGTGTAAATAACTGCAATTCCCATAAAGTAACGTCCATTTTAGTAAGAGTAATGCTATATAGTATTATTTAGAAACTTAATGATGTGACTTTAATATAATTATTGAATTAATTGTGAGTTATAATGTTAGATGGAATCTACAACTAATTCAATAGTTGTACATCATTCGGTCAATAAATTAGGTCCAAATAGCATTTTCTTTTTAGTAAAGAGTAATGCTATTTGTATATAAAAATCTGACCTAATTCATAGGAATCATTGGATCAATACCAAGTTCTAATATTTGATGAAACCTACAATCAATCCAAATGTTATAATAAATTAGGTGAATAAATTATGTCAGTAAATTAGGTCCCAATAATATTGCTCTTTAATAAAATGTTACACAATCTAAATAAAATTCAAATGTATATCATTCATTAGATAAGTGTTGGATGACTGAGTATCATTGAAAAAGTTGATGGAATTTACTCATATAAAAAATAATATGCAATTGAATTATAATTTTTTAGGTTTTATTTGAATTTTGTAACATTGTTCTTCATTTTAACATGTATACCATCAAATTTCATTATCTCAATCTTATTTTTATATTTCTAAAATCATAACAATGAGTACTTTCTATCAAATTCCATGTCTAAAACTAACAATTAAAATTACACCCACACTTGTCCAATTATTACATTTTTTATGAACACACACAAAGATGATACATGCATATTAAAACCATATTTTACTCAACATCGTACTGAAGTCACAATAGCCCAAGAAGATCAGCAAGCCCAAGTCTGATCATCATCTCCAAAAAGATTAAACATTTACACAAGTGAACGAGAATTTATCAACTAACCTGAATTTCTTTCACGCATTTACGGCAATTTTTACATTCTAACCACTGGGTCACATCAAAAGGAGCTGCCTTGAGTAAGGAGTGTAAGAAGTTGATAAAGCATAGAAAGTCCCATTGTTAGTGATTTTTTCTTTTTCTTTTTTTCTTTTCTTTTCTTTTCGGTTCTGCTTTAGTGTAAGTCTAGAAAGAAAGTTTCCTTTGCAAAGCGTGTAATGAGCCATGGGAAAGCTTATATTATTTGGGCTTTTGAGACTACATTTAGTGTCCAAGATTTACTGGCCTTCCAGCCCACTTGCATGATAGTATTAATATTCCTTGATGGAGCTTCTATTTACCAGGTGAGGAACAATAAAGAGACATTGTAACCAGAGAAAACAAGTGTCGATACCTTTCGGTTTTTTTTACTATCAAATGATTGCTCCATCTTATTTTTTCCCAACCAATATATATATATATATATAGGCATTGTTTTTTAACAAAAATACATGACTAGATGTACCCCAAATATTTTTTCAGGGCAAGCTTAGCGATGCCAAAAAATTAGTCTTGAGTGGACACTTTAACCAGGATGATATATTTATATTTATTAAAATTATTTTTCACACAAAATAAAATCATTCAACTTAATAGGGTGAAAAACTGTTTATACATAATGCATATAAATAAGACAAAATAGGAACTATTAATTTTAACATTCTACAAAAAAAAAGGTTATTTATAATTATTTCTAATTGATTATTGATTGGGATAGAATTTTAGATATGGGCCGTCATGGCCATGGAGCCTAGTAAACTCAGAGCATTCTACTTCGCCTGTTAGCGCAAGGGAAACATACCTAGCCAGTCCGTATCAAGAAGCAAAGCCCAAAAGGATCGGCGGTCCGGCCCTAGTCAAAAGATAACCAGAGAGGGAGAAGTCAAACCTTAACCATAGACGCATTCCACCACGCCACACGTCCCAAAATAAC